AAAGACTCCACTCCAAAACTACTAGAACTGATATCGGAATACAGCAAAGTTGCAGGATACAAAATTAACACACAGAAATCTGTAGCTTTCCTATACACTAACAACGAATCAATAGAAAGAGAAATCAGGAAAACAATTCCATTCACCATTGCATCAAAAAGAATAAAATACCTAGGAATAAACCTAACCAAGGAAGTGAAAGACTTATACTCTGAAAACTACAAGTCACTCTTAAGAGAAATTAAAGGGGACACTAATAAATGGAAACTCATCCCATGCTCATGGCTAGGAAGAATTAATATCGTCAAAATGGCCATCCTGCCGAAAGCAATATACAAATTTGATGCAATCCCTCTCAAATTACCAGCAACATTCTTCAATGAATTGGAACAAATAATTCAAAAATTCATATGGAAACACCAAAGACCCCGAATAGCCAAAGCAATCCTGAAAAAGAAGAATAAAGTAGGGGGGATCTCACTCCCCAACTTCAAGCTCTACTACAAAGCCATAGTAATCAAGACAATTTGGTACTGGCACAAGAACAGAGCCACAGACCAGTGGAACAGATTAGAGACCCCAGAAATTAACCCAAACATATATGGTCAATTAATATTTGATAAAGGAGCCATGGACATACAATGGCAAAATGACAGTCTCTTCAACAGATGGTGCTGGCAAAACTGGACAGCTACATGTAGGAGAATGAAACTGGACCATTGTCTAACCCCATATACAAAGGTAAACTCAAAATGGATCAAAGACCTGAATGTAAGTCATGAAACCATTAAACTCTTGGAAAAAAACATAGGCAAAAACCTCTTAGACATAAACATGAGTGATCTCTTCTTGAACATATCTCCCCGGGCAAGGAAAACAACAGCAAAAATGAGCAAGTGGGACTACATTAAGCTGAAAAGCTTCTGTACAGCGAAAGACACCATCAATAGAACAAAAAGGAACCCTACAGTATGGGAGAATATATTTGAAAATGACAGATCTGATAAAGGCTTGACGTCCAGAATATATAAAGAGCTCACACGCCTCAACAAACAAAAAACAAATAACCCAATTAAAAAATGGGCAGAGGAACTGAACAGACAGTTCTCCAAAAAAGAAATACAGATGGCCAAGAGACACATGAAAAGATGCTCCACATCGCTAATTATCAGAGAAATGCAAATTAAAACTACAATGAGGTATCACCTCACACCAGTAAGGATAGCTGCCATCCAAAAGACAAACAACAACAAATGTTGGCGAGGCTGTGGAGAAAGGGGAACCCTCCTACACTGCTGGTGGGAATGTAAATTAGTTCAACCATTGTGGAAAGCAGTATGGAGGTGCATCAAAATGCTCAAAACAGACCTACCATTTGACCCAGGAATTCCACTCCTAGGAATTTACCCTAAGAACGCAGCAATCAAGTTTGAGAAAGACAGATGCACTCCTATGTTTATCGCAGCACTATTTACAATAGCCAAGAATTGGAAGCAACCTAAATGTCCATCTGTAGATGAATGGATAAAGAAGATGTGGTACATATACACAATGGAATACTACTCAGCCATAAGAAGTGGAAAAATCCAACCATTTGCAGCAACATGGATGGAGCTGGAGAGTATTATGCTCAGTGAAATAAGCCAAGCGGAGAAAGAGAAATACCAAATGATTTCACTCATCTGAGGAGTATAGGAACAAAGGAAAAACTGAAGGAACAAAACAGCAGCAGAATTACAGAACCCAAAAATGGACTAACAGGTACCAAAGGGAAAGGAACTGGGGAGGATGGGTGGGCAGGGAGGGATAAGGGGGGGGAAGAAGAAGGGGGGTATTAAGATTAGCATGCATGGGGGGGAGGGAGAAAGGGGAGGGTGGGCTGCACAACACAGAGAGGACAAGTAGTGACTCTACAACATTTTGCTAAGCTGATGGACAGTAACCGTAATGTGGTTGTTAGGGGGGACCTGATATAGGGGAGAGCATAGTAAACATAGTATTCTTCAGGTAAGTGTAGATTAAAAATTTAAAAAAAAAAAAAAAAAAAGAAAGAAAAGGGGGATTACTCCTTAACAGGATAAAACTATTGGTAAATCAAAGATCAACGCATGCTTTAAATATCCTTAATGTTGATCACTTAAAGGGTGTCAGATGATCAGCTATGGAGGTACTCTTTTCTGATAATATTCCTTTCTCTTAATTAAAAAAAAAAAAAAAAAAAGTTACTGTGTGCTGACCTCCAATGAGTTCTGCACAGTGGTATAGAGGGCATGTCAAAGTGTGGGCAAAGGGTCTGTTTGTTTCTACGCAGAAGATCAAGGCCTAGCTTGGATACCCAGAAAATGAACTAAGATACGATATGAGGAGGAGCTTCCGGCATCAGCACTCTCTGGAGGACTCGTGCCGGGGGATGATCATCAAAAAGCCTCCACAGGGATCCGGACGATGCTGCGGTTGTGGCTGCATCCAGCCCACCATCTCCTGGACTTGCCATAAGAAGGAGGAGGGAGATGTCTAGGCTGGCATGTGCATACAGTGAGACAACGAATTTGACTGGATCTGTACTGTTGGAACTCAACCAGGAGTTGGGAGGGGTGCAAGTTGTAGCACCCCAAAATCTCATGACTATAGACTATCTATGGTTAAAAGAACATATGGGATGTGAACAGATCCCAGAAATGGGCTGCTTTAATTTGTCTGATGGTTCAAGTACAGTTGGAAAATATCCATCATATCATAGATAAATTTTCACAAATGCCTAGGGTGCCTAAATGGTTTTCTTGGCTTCACTGGAGATGGCTGGTAATTATAGATTTGCTTTGTTTATGTCACCGTATTCCTATTATGTTAATATGTGTGTGCAAATTAGTTAGTAGTTTAAAACCTATACATACTTAAGGTACTATACAAGAAGATATGTCAAAGAAATAATCAATCCTCCCAAGTTTCCTTCATATGCTACATCTATAGCTTTTCTTCTTCCTTCCTAATTACAAACCTTAAATAGAATTCGTGCCTCATATCGAATTTACCGAGTATCATAATTCCTCCAGGTGGTAAAGATACCTCGAGACAAGTGCTGGGCATAGAAGCCACAGGGCATAAATCTGCAAAGAAGTAAAAAGCTAACCTTTGCAAACAATATGGCTTCTCTCTCACTTACCAACTTTACATTTCCCTGTATGGCCCCGGAAGATGACTGGTTAGCCAGAGACGGGTAAGATTCCTCAAGGGAGGAACAACCTAAGACAGGCACAGTCGCAGGGGGGCCATCAGGTGAGAATTTGGGGATCAACAGAGGTGAGGCTCAGAACCTCACCCCCCCTGCTTTGAGAGAAATCTTCTGCATCCGTGGATGTCTTGCTGCCCTTGTCTAGCCTGGATTAATACTTAGTCCATAGGCACACACCTGATCATCTGATCATCTACATTTGCCTTCTTACAGCACTAAACTATGTTTTCTACCTTTATCTTGCATCTACCTACCACTTCAGCATTTTATTAAAAATAAAAATAATAATAATAATAGGAGAAATGTGGGATCAACATATAAATCAAGTACAAAAATCAAATGAATATTCATATTTGACCTGATGGTTTATAGGTCATATTGCATGATCAAAACCGAAAGTTTCTGTGATGAATGCCCTTGTACTGTTCACCATGTAAGAATTTATTCACTCTGTAAGAATTCGTTCACCATGTAAGAACTTGTTCGTTATGCTTCAGAAGATTGGAGACTGATGAGAATTAGGCTTGAGATGGATTAATGATTGTACATTGAGCATTGACCCCCCTATACTGAATTTTATTGTTGTTAACAACCATTTGATCAATAAATATGAGAGATGCCCTCTCAAAAAAAAAGTTTTATTTCACTTAGTTGAGTCTACCTCAACCAGTAACACAACATCTATGACTTATTTCCATCCTTGGCAAAGTTCTGGTTAAAAGACCCTTAAACGAAATCACTGTGAGGAAACAGCCCCAAGGAGAATAAGTAACTAACCCAAAGACACTACTCTATTCAAATAATACATCAAATTTTTTTTAATGCTAGGATCACAGGGGTAAATGACTTGCCTTATTCTTCACACCTCCTTAATGGAGAGAAGTGGAAGAAGATTAAAGTGGTAAACCTCACTAGTTCATAGTCTTGATAACAGTAATTTTTGTATTGCTATACACTCACTATAGGTAAAAACATATGAATTAAAAACAAATGTCAGATAAAAATGGTCATTTGATCCAAATTAGCAATAATTGGATAAGAATGCACAGAATGTCTGATAACATCAACTAAAAAGTTAGGCAACATGTAAGATGAGCATCTGTAGTCTTGTGTCTATCTGGGTCATTTAAATCTAAAACCTTAATCTTTCCTCACTTATTGGGTTTGATCTCAGTTAACATTATATACTGTCTCAGCATTCAACTTTCTATCAACAACATGCTCATGTTTATAATTAGTCCTCCTCAGGAAGCTTAATGTACATTATATGATTTTAGCATTTTTCTTTCATAACATGGCAAGTATTTTACTGTATACTGAGGATGTGACATAATCTATCAGTGAATGTACATCCTGAAACCTGCAAGAGATAGAAATCTACTCCAGCAATGCTTTTCAAAACTATCATTTTAGTAAATTAATTATTTGTGCATAGTCTATCTGGAGTCAAACATGAAGATAGAACGTTTCTCAATTGTCTGACTGACTTTGCCTTTTACTAACCAAAACACAAATTTGACTTAATTGGCTCCATTCCCATCACTCTTTCTATTGTGCTGTCGTCCTGTGAAGTATCTCCAACTGCAAAATAGCAAAGAATATATACAAAGCAGTCATATTGCCAAAAGGCAATTGTTTCTCAGAGAAACAATAAGAAATAGGATGGATGCTAAAGAAAAGATTAGGTTCACTGACTTAGTATTCCCTATCACATCCTGTGTTTTTTCACCTTTTAGACAACTTCTGACAAACTCATACAGGACGATGAATGGATTTTCTGAAGAACAGATCAAGTGTTTCTGAGTTTATCTTGCTGGGACTTTCCAGTTCTCAAGAAATTCAGATATTCCTTTTTGCAATCTTCTTTCTTGTCTATGTAGCCATTGTAGTAGGAAACCTCCTTATTGTGATCTCTGTGATATTTGATAACCATCTTCACTCCCCCATGTATTTCTTTCTGGCAAACTTGTCGTTTCTTGACTTATGTCTTTCAACTACTGCAACTCCCAAAGCAATTGCAGACTTCCTTAGAAAACACAAGACCATCTCCTTGTGGGGCTGCATGGCCCAGATGTTTTTCATGCACTTCTTTGGGGGTGGAGAGATGTCTCTTCTGATAGCTATGGCCATAGACAGGTATGTGTTCATATGCAAACCCTTGCGCTACAAAACCCTCATGAGTCGCAGGGTGCTCACTGTGTTTCTACTGCTCTCATGGATAGTTGGCTTCATACATACTACAAGCCAGATAGTTTTCACGGTTGGTTTACCTTTCTGTGGTCCCAACGTTGTGGACAACATTTTCTGTGACCTTCCGCTGGTCATCAAGCTTGCTTGCACTAAAACTTATACCCTCTAGCTCTTGGTGATTACAAACAGTGGGCTTCTGTCCTTGATCTGCTTCATTCTCTTGCTCATATCCTATGTCGTCATGCTGGTCACCATCTGGAAGCATTCTTCCAGTGCATCCTCCAAGGCTGTGTCCACACTATCTGCTCACATCACTGTGATCACTCTCTTCTTTGGCCCAGCTATCTTTATCTATGCTTTCCCATTCAATAGTTATTCTGCAAGTAAGTTTTTTTCTGTATTTTACTTGACCATCACCCCCCTCATTAATCCAATTACTTACACTCTGAAGAATCAGGAAATGAAGGCAGCCATTAAGAGACTGAGCAGCCAGCATACTGGTTCCTGGCTCATCTCCTAAATGTTGTCTGTAACAACTGATAATTCTGCGTCCTCTGCTTATTGGAATTTTGAGTCTTAACTATTTTTTCAAATAATTGAAGTGAAAATGTAATTAGTATGTTTATTCTTCCCTCAAGATTTGTGGAATTATTCATATGTTTCTGATGAAATTCTAATGGAAAATGTTCACAGTACAGACTTAATATATAAACAAGCATGCAGTCATCATTTCCTTGTACTACCTTGTCTTGAATTCAGGGAAACCATGACCAGTATTTAATACACATAAGCATAATGTCTTCTTACAAAATCCTAAAAAGTTTCAGTGAATCTGTAGGACCCCAACCTCCCTGAGAAATAAGTTAGCCTAAGAGTAGCCATCTTGAAGCCCAAAAAGCCATTCTGATATATGACTCAGAGGGAACAACTGAAACCAGGTAACTCCTCTGGAAAAACAAGTTAATCAATCATGACTGCTGGCAGCGCTAACCTCTCGGTTAGTTAAGCATAAAAGCTGACCCTACCTTGCAACCCCCCCAGGACGTGGCACTAACCCAGAAATCGTAGGTTTGAAAAATTACTGCCTTTGTAGTATTGTTATCTTGCTATGTAGTATTGTTATCTTGTTATTACAAAACAATCTGTAACCATGGTAATCCTCTAGGGCTGAATGCCTCAGAAAATCCTATATAACCACTTAGTTGTAAGTGCTCAGGGTCCTCGTTGAGACCCGCTGCGATGGGCCGACTTGGACCCCAACTAGTTGGCTTCTGAATAAATTCCTCTTGCTTGTTGCATCAAGAAACGTCTTTGGTGAGTGATTTGGGGCGGCGCCTTCCTCAGGGGAATCCAACAAATCAATATGTAAAAATAGGAAATGTTAGTAAAATAGCATGCTATATGGTGTTTTGTTTAAATTCCTGTTTCTAAAGTTATATGTTATAACCCACTAGGTGTTAAAATAACTATCAATATATGTCAACCATGCAGAGGGTTCACAGAGGAACTGTGAGAAATCAATTAGCATTGTCTGCTATGGGCTTTGGGAATGAATACAGCAGCACAGGTATATTTACTATCCTCACTTCCTTGTAATCTTTTCAAGTTTATAATTGGAAAAACATGGAAGAGTTACATATAAAAAACAAACACAGAAAACTTCCACCAGCAAACAAACCCATCTGCAATCATGTACTGCCACTCAGCATTTAGAATATTACCCACTTACTTACACTGTTTTACCATAAAAGTTTTACTGCAGTTGCCCCCTTGACCTTCCTTTAGTACTGATGATTCATCAACAAGTTCTACATAAATGTAAAAGACTAATGGAATTCTAAGTCTTTAGAATGATTGTTAAACCCCACTAACTAATCACTTATTGATTACTATGGTGAAAGCCTCGCCTGATTTTTTTCTCTCTCTCTCACTCTTTCTTCCATTATATGTTAAAAGGATAGTTTTTCTATGTTAATAACACATCTATAGTCAGTGAATTTCCCTATACGCCTTACTCAGTGTGGACGCTGTTTAATTTTACTTGAACAAATGTATTCAATTACCAGATTCGTTATAAATATTCAGATTGATGAAATCAAGTTATTAGAATTTTAATTTCCACAAGCCTATCAAATATAATAGATCCATTTTTAATAAATGTGCTCACCCCATCCCAACTAAAACACTAAAGTTAGTGTGCTTTCTCTAGAAAGCACCTCCTAGAGAAAGTCCACATAGCCTATACTCAGGGAATTCACAATCACCCAAATGAGAGAGGTCCTTTCTCTGGACTCTAGGGAACACTAGCATGTTGATTTTAATAATTCCCTCTGGGAATTGATCACCAGTCTACACCTTATGTATATGTTTCTTGTCCTTTTTCTTTTTAATCTGCAATGATTGTCATGTGTATTTGTGGAGGTACAAAAGATAAACATATATATCCAGAATTTCACTGTGCCTGCATGCTTTTGAAGAGGCTTCTCCTCAGCCAGAACTGGTAGGTTTAAATAGCAGTGCTAACAACACACTGCTATTGTATACTTTTTTATTAAAAAAGAGGAGACATTTTATAAGAAACCTAGAACTGAATGAAAACCATAGTATGCTGATCATGAGGGCAATGGTAAAAGACAAATATTGGCCAACTAACATCTAGACAAATATATCTAATTTCAGGAAGAAAAACCAGCCTGTGACTGACCAATAAACACAACCCACATTCTTGATCTGAGGGGTCAGTTCTTATAGTTTCAGTTTGCAGTTTTGGAATATGAGTTTGGTTTAGTTTAATTCCTATGGGATACAAAGACGAAATAATTTAGAATATGGTAGAAAGAACAGAAAAATTAGGTCCTTCCTTGGCTGAGTTTAGGGTCTGTGACAAGTCTGAAATGTAATTTAATAAAATCTCATATCAAGAAAATGGGAAACAAAAACATTTTATTTTTATTAATTTACTTACCTATGTTTTACCTTTCCTACACTGAGTATTTATTTTAACACAGAAAGCAATTATGGAATATTAAATGAAATAAACTAGTAATTTAAAAATTTTCTGCTCAAGGCTACAATTATATTTTGATTGAAGTCATATAATCTTTCATTCAATACAATTGTATAATTGTACTAGTAACATTAATTTTGGGTGATTTTTAATCCAGGTATTAGTCCCTATTTATCTAAATACACTGTCTTTTCTTTAACCTACACTTAAAATAATTATTTTAATATTTTTTAACTTGATCAGTATGTGAAGACAAAGCCCTTTGTGCACTTACAATGTTGAGCCTTTTTCTATTAAATGAACACATTTATTTTTTAATTAAGAAAACTTCAATAATGGTTATTTTGGAAACAAATCTGATTTATCACATTCCACACATTTTTTTTCGTAATTGAATATTATTTGTAGGTTATCTCACCCATACATGACTTAACACTCTCATGAAAAAGAATCATTAAAATACTCAAGATCAATAGACACTGCACAGTCTTTGTCATTATCAAAAGAACTGTTAGTTATATATTTCTGCATACACTACTAAAGTGTTTTTGTGGAAATGTATGGAAGAGACTTTATTACTGAATAGAAACATACCGTATTGGACATCCATAGTTTTTTTTCCCCCAAGGAAGAAACTACAGTTAAAAAGAGTAGAGTGATATTTCATCTTTTGTCACATGAACAGCATAGCAAGGTCTAGGCTCCCCAAATCAGGCTATCAATCACATTCTCAGACCAAGATCTTGTTAGAGACAAATCAGACCCTGCCTGATCCAGTTTGATGCAATTATTTCTTTATTTCTTTCCAGTTCACTGTTATTTATAAAAATATACCGCTCAAAAATTTTAAATTGCCATTTGAGGCTTAACTGTGTAAGTTAAGAAGAAATCTTTTCTTTTTCTTATTTCAAACTTATTTTTACCAGTGTCTGAGTAGAAAAGTACATATTTTAAAGATATTGCCTCTTTGATCATATGTACAAATTGTCATAATGAATAATTTTCATCAATCATAACAGATTTAAATCCATCTACATGTATTACTAGCTGGATATATTTTATAAATATGCTTGCTAATTTTCCAAAAATCCCAAATTAATAAATACCATTTTTGCTTTTAACTTTCCAATTTTATGTATTAAACTATAAAAACTATTTTTATGATTCTCAAGATTTTCTCCTGTTAGTATTTTGAGATTGCTAGTGAATAGTTTTGAAAACAATTTCTTAACTAGCATGTAGACTAAATTACTAAAACATAGAATACCAGGGATTATGATAATAATTATTTATAAAAAAGACAACTAGTAATTATATCATTTATATTTAATAAGAGAAAAATACTTTCATTAACACTAAGTCTTATTTATCAAGTCTTCCATAGTGAAATTCTTCTTTCACTATTCACTATTCTTTCACAGCATAGTGAATTTCTAGCTGCTGGGTTATAATCACCAGAAAAATTAGATAATGTTAAACACAGAGTTTTGTGAATGCACATCTGTAGCAACTATGCATATAAAATGAAACATACAAATATATTCCATATATGTTACCTTTTAGAGTCTCATAACAATCTGTGAGGTTAAAGAGTAGGCATTATTCAATTTTTATACAAAATAAATCAATATTTAATAGTTAAGAGTGTATTTCCCTAGTAAATGTTGAGGCCAGGACTAGAATTTAAATCTTGACTTCTGGTTCAGTTTTTTTTTGTATACTCAGTGTACACTATAAAAATATATACCATACAAACACACTAACATCTGAATAATTCATGACTGTCACGCCAAAAAGAAAAAAAAATTCAGAGTAGATTTTCCACTCTCTGTTCTGGTGCTCCAGAATTAGGACATAGTATAAGTACATGTAATGGTGTTTCTGTGATTCTGTATCTGTGCCTGTGTTTGGCACAGCAGTTTTATCATTAGCAGCTTTAAAAAAGAAAGCTGGACACAGGGAAGGCAGTAAGTATAACACAGAGAAGACAAGTAGTGATTCTATAGCATCTTACTAAGCTGATGGATAGTGACTGTAATGGGGTATATGGAGGGGACTTGATAATGGAGGGAGTCTAGTAACCATAATGTTGCTCATGTAATTGTACATTAATGATACCAAAATAAAAAATAAAATAAAATAAAAAGGAAAAAAAAAGAAAGCTGGAACCAAACGAATAAATCAAAATGCAAAAGTAGATAAAAGTGAGCCAATAATATCAGCTCAATGTGAGAAATCATACAGACAGTTAGGGTCAAGGAGGTATGAGTCAGAATAAGAGTCACACTGCACACAGTGTGAAAAGACAGAGGAAAGAACTTGGTACAAAGACAGACATTCAGAAGCCAAGCAAACATAAACACTACTTGTAAAAGGTTTGGTAATTGTCCAATGATCATGTATACACAGAATGCGAAGGGACAAGGAAGAGAACTCCAGCCAAGAACCCACTAACAATTGATTCAGGAAATAGTAAAAAATGCTGAACAATGGAGGTCAGGAGTTTTGTTCAGGAACCAAAGTATGAGATATAGATCACTAATCAAAAATATATACGAAGAAAGAAAGAGGAAGGAAGGAAAGAAGGAGGAAGGAAGAAACCTGAATACTGAGATTAATGTTTTTGTTCAGAACTTCCTAGGAAACTTATTACATTTACAATATTGTGGGGAGAAGAATATATGACAGGAAGTATCCAGTTTAGCTATAGAAATAAGTGAAATCATTGGTATATCTCTTTGGGAGGGAAAGAGAGGGGTAAGAACATAGTACAGCTGGCAGAAGAAAGTACCCTAAAGTAATTCCTGAGGGGGTGTATAATTCAAGTCACATGCACATATCTGAATATTTCAGTTACAGAGGGGGAAAGGAGTAAAGGTCAAATACTAGGCACCAAAAATTTACACAGCTGTTATTTCTATCCACCTGAACCAACTCATGTTAATAGCCATTGGCTCTTTTACTCATTAACCTATGGTTTGTGAACTCAGGAACTCATGACAGAAGCAGTGAACCAATGTAAACACAATGTGTGCCTCCAAAGTGTATTTACAAAATTTTATGATGAATTTCTCATCTTTTGTGCCTTTCTGGTTGAAATGCAGTAATGTGAATGTCATTTATGTTAATTCAAATATATTTTACAGAAATGCCCATCTTCTCTCTTTCTGTAGGAATCAAATACTACTTTCTATATATCCACCTTCAAAACTATCACACGTTAAATTATCACTTTTTCCAGACCATCTTCATTCTAAAGACCTTCTGAGAACTACATAGACTAATGGATATGGTGAACAGCTCAGTGGTATCTGAATTCGTTTTGTTAGGACTCACCGACAATTGGGAACTTGAAATTTTCTTTCTTTTCCTATTTTTGTTGGCCTACTCAGCAATTATGGCAGGAAACCTTCTCATTGTGGTCACGGTAACCTTTGACTCTCATCTGTGCTCTACGCCAATGTACTTCCTCCTTGGAAATCTCTCCTTTCTGGATATGTCTATTTCCACAATCACAACCCCTAAGATGGTTGCAGATTTTCTCAGGGAAAATAAAACTATTTCCTTGTGGGGCTGTATGGCTCAGATGTTCTTCCTCCACTTGTTAGGGGGCAGTGAGATGACTCTTCTCATTGTTATGGCTGTTGATCGATACATTGCAATATGCAAACCTCTTCACTACACAGCCATCATGAAGCGCCGAGTACTTGTGACCTCTGTGCTGCTGTCATGGGCCGTTGGTTTTGTGCACACAATGAGCCAGATGATTTTTACTATCACCTTGCCCTTCTGTGGCCCCAATATAGTGGATAATATTTTTTGTGACCTTCCCCTAGTTCTAAAGCTTGCCTGCACTGAGACCTATGTTCTGGAGTTGCTGGTGATTGCTGACAGCGGATTGCTGTCCTTCATCTGCTTCATACTCTTGCTCATTTCCTACACTATCATTTTGCTAACTGTCCGACATAGATCCTCTGATGGACTCTCCAAGGCTCTGTCCACACTGTCTGCTCATATTACTGTGGTGACTCTGTTCTTTGGGCCATGTATCTTCATTTATATTTGGCCATTTAGTAACTTTTCGGTGGATAAATTTCTCTCAGTGTTTTATTCAGTTATCACACCCTTACTGAACCCCATTATTTACACTCTAAGGAATCAGGAGATGAAAGCAGCCATGAGTAGACTGAGAACCCAACACGTCAGCTCCAGACAGACCTTGTGGGCAACATCATGATGATAGATTTCGGCCCAAAAGCCATAAATATTACATCTCAGAACAAATTTGGCATTGATTTTTGTTTGTAGATTGTTTAAATATTCATAATGTATATTGAAATTATCAATGCTCTATCATTATACTTCTATGACTATATGTTTGGTTTTATTGGAAAACTAATTATTTTTATTGAAATTCAATATATTGTGGTTAATAATTTGCTTAAATGTAATTAAGAATTAAATAGAAAACACTGACTCACTATCATTGGAAACCCAGAAACATCAAGACTAAATTTAATTAAAAAACAGAAATCAAATATGAATCTATTCAGAATTAGGGATTTTTTACCTAAATTCTCTAGTTTGACTAAATGTGTATAAAATTGTATGAAATCTTCTAAACTCAAAACCACATGTACAGAAACTCACATTTTTGTGGGTTCTAATATGTGTAAGAAATACTACTTTTTTTAACAAGGCAAACGATAGTTTCTATGAGCAGAGAGTTCCAAGCAGTTTATTGAATTTCTAATATTTTGCCACAATTATTTCAGGCTCTTTTACTACAAAAGTGGATTATTAGACATAATAAAGACCCCAAAGGAACCATCCACATCCAGTTATTTTATTGTAGCAAAAATAAACAGTACCACCAACTCTGTAAGTATGACTTCTTTGCATATTTTAAAAATTATTTTTTTTCATTTTTCATTCATTGTACATGAAATAGATTTTGTAAGTTTGTAACTTGATATAAATGGAGTTTATATAAATGTTATTATGTTAAAATATTTTTTCACTCAGTTTATTTTAAAGATTTTTCAGTTTCAATACATGTTGCTGTAGTTAAAGAACACATAACATCTCATTTTAAAGTGCACAGTAGTGTTAATTATGAGCAACCTGTACAATTAGGCTTCTAGAACTTTTTCATCTTGCAAAACTGAAATTCTATACTTATTCTACAACTCCCCTTTCCCTCTCCCCCCACAGGCCCTTGCAATCACCATTTGACTCTTTCTAAGGGTTTGACTGCTTTGGTCACTTCATATAAGTAAACCATACAGCATTTGTCTTTCTGTGACTGGTTTATTTCACTTGGCACACTGTCCTCCAAGTTCAACCATATTGTAGCATAAGATAGGTTTTCCTTCTTTGTTAAGGCTGGTGCTATTCCATGGCATGTATATGCTACATTTCCTTATCCATTCTTCCATTTATAGACACTCAGGTTGCTCCCTCCTCTGGGCTATTGTGAATAATGCTGCAGTGCACATGATTATGCAGATATCTGTTCAAGATTTTGTTTTAGATTCTTTTGGATATATACCTAGATGTCAGTTTGTTGTATCATATGGTAATTCTATTTTTAATTCTTTGAGCGACATCTATACTGTTTTCCAGAATGGCTGCACCATTTTACATTTCCACTAGCAATGTAAAGGGTTTCAGTTTCCTCACATCTCCACACTCCCACCAGCACTTGTTATTTTCTGGATTTTTTGGTTTTATTTTGATAGTGGCCATCCTAACAAGTGTAAGATAATATCTCATTGTGGGTTTGATTTGCATTTCCCTGATGATTAGTGATGTTCAGCACTTTTTTCATATGCTTATTGGCTATTTCTTTATTTTCTTAGGGTAAACATCTATTTGCCATGTTTTTCATTGAGTTGTTTTTATTGTTGTTAAGTGGTAGAGGTTCTTTATACATTCTGGATATTAACTCCCTATCAGATAAATGAATTTCTCCCATTCTATAGGTTGCCTTTTCATTCTGTTGATCATTTCTTTTGCTGCACAGAAGTTTTTAAGTGTCAGGTAGTCTTTCTTGTCTATTTGGGTCTTTGTTGCCTGTGCTTTGGGTGACATACCCAATAAAAAATTGCTAAATCCAATGTCTTCAAGACTTCCCCTACATTTTTTTCTAGGAGTTTTGTAATATCAGGTCTTACATTTAGGTATTTAATTCATTTTGATTGAATTTGTGCATATGGTGCTACAAAGAAAACACAAGCCCAACATGCTCAGTTCTGCTAGGCCAAGTCACCAAGCCAGGGCTTAAAACCTACCTAATTGTAGTTAAAACCACTCCCAGAAATGTCAGTGATGATTTCCTAGGCAGCATCCATAAGTTAATGTCACAATCACTCCCTTCATATCCAAAGGAAGATGAGGTAATCCACCTAATGAGACCCCTATCCTTACCTCCTCTCACACACATAGATAGCATCAGAATGTGTCTAGGATGATATTTTAGGACACTAACTAGCTATATCCATGCCACACTGCTTGCTTAATGTAACCTCTTTTCTGCACATATCCAAAGGGGCTTTAGGGCAGTTTATCAGAGCACACTGATGGGCTCTTGGTCCATGGTTCTCAGTAAGATTATGAACATACTCTATCTTTCTTAAATATAATGGTCATGTTGATTTCAGTCCACAGTGGTATAGGGTAAGGGTACAGCTTCATGTTTTACAGGTGGATAATCCAGCTTTTCCAACACCATTTGTTGATGCTAGTTTGTTCATTTTAATGGAAAAAAGTCTCTTATCTTATGGATATGCTAAGATTTACTTAAATCTCCTCCTCTTTGGACACATTTAGAATTTTCAAATGATTTATTATTATAAAAAATGGCTCAATTGAATACACATATACATGTTGCTTTGTGCATGTGTAATAATTTGTCTAGAATATGTACCTAGAACTGGAAGTGCTGAGTTGTAAGGTACAAACATTCTAACATTATCAAACTTATTCCAAAGTTGTATACTATCAGGGGTCCTAATTTCTCAATGACTTTGTCAATTCAGGATTTTGTAAGCTTTGGGTTTTTTTAATTTTTTTGCCATATAGATGAGTACAAAAATATTTTAGACAGAAACTAGTGTGTTTGTCTTGTTAAATTTTTTTTTAATTTTTATGCATTTCCTTGGGTAATAATAAACTTGGTCATTAATTCAAGGATTTATTGGACATCTCTTTTGCCTTTCTAGCTCATACTTCAGCTGATTTCTCATTTTGGTTGTTTTTCTTTATAAACTGATTTTTATTACTTTTTCTATCTATCATCTGCCCACACACACATGCAAATTATATGAACTGAAAATATCTTCACTTCTAGAGATTTTACAAACATTTTGTGATGTTTATAAATCACACAAAATTTAGTAGTTACATTTATCAATCTTTTCCTTCAGATCTATGATTTTTGTCTCTTATGTAGTCTGTCCTTTATTATTCCTAGCCCAAAATAGTCTATTCTATTGTCTTTTCTTTTTTTAATTTTAAACCTTTCTTCCTTTAAGCTCTTCCTTTCTCAAATAGTTGTTTAATGCAACTGAGAGTTAAACTTTGTGTTGGTAACCGATGGGAATCTAATTTATTTTTATATGGATAAAAACTATCACCTAAATACTATTTATTGAGCAGCTTTCCCTACTGATTGCAATGTTACCTTTTCCATATAGCAAGCACCCATGTAGCTTCGGTCTCTTCTTGACTGCTCTCATCTCTTCCTTTGGTCATTTTGTCTACCAGCAATAACACTATATATGGTCTTATAGTTCCTTTATAGCACTGCAAATCTGTGCTCTCAAAATATTCTACTTTAAATATATCTCAGTTCTTCTTATCAGTTAACCCTTTCATATGATTTTAGGATATGTCCTCAAACTCCACAAAAAATAATTTTAGGATATCAGTTGACATTGGATAGAATATTTAGATTAATTTGGGAAAGAGAGATAATTGTGTAATTTGATTATTCTAATCCATGAATCTAGAATATCTTTATTTAGTTACATTTTATTTTATAATATTTAGTGATATTTTAATTGTTTGATTTGTTTTACCAGTCATCATATTTTGTTATTACAATGTAATATCTTGCACACGATAATTTAGCAGATTGTTAGTGATATAGAAAAACAGATTTTTGTATGCTGATTGTGTACACAGAAAATTTGTTGACCTTTCATTCTTATTTTGTCTATAGATACCTGAGTATCCTAATTAGTTTATCTAGAAATCATGTAGTAGTTTTTTTAATCGTCCTTCCAAGCCTACTGTTTGTTTATGGTTTGCCATATGTGTATAGCTGGAAACACCACTACAAAGGTGAAGTAAAGGTATTACCTTTTCTCTAAATACACAGTGTTTGTTTTTAAAATGCTACCATAGACTATATGACCTTCCTGATAAGTCTCTTCTATTAATAGCTATCTTACCTCTTTTAAAAACATAAATGATTGTTGAATTCATTAAAAAATGTTATGCACACTTTAAGATAATTTTCATTCCTCACTTAATCTTTTAAATTGGTGGATTGGCTTAATATTGTCCACATTTCTTTGAAATTTTAGTTTAAACTCTAATCTGTAATAGTCTTTTCTTTTGCTTTTCACCTTTCCACATTTAGTTTTCCATTTGTTTTTGTTTTGTTTTAGAATTGTTGTGTAACTTTCTCCCTTTTTTTGTTGTCTAAAATCGTTTAAACTAAAATGAGGATAACTCCCACCATCTTCACTACCCTGACCCTGCGTGCTTTTCAAGAAAAGCTTTAACACATCTTCTGAGAAACCCTTCCCTGACCCTCCGTGTTTGGTTAGAGCTCTTCTAGGACTCCTTTACAGCCTCTATTACTGTTCTGTAATGTTTGTCACAGAGCAAATTATTTAATTAAATGTTTGTATCTATCTGTATTTCCTACTAGAATATATAGGAATATGGAAGTCAAGGACCACAACTATCTTAATCACTGGAGCATCCCTAGTGCGGTCTGCCATCAAGTATGTTCCTAATAATTACTGCTTAGCTGACTGACTGATTAGATTGCAGGCACCACTGAATTACCCTGCCAGATAAATAAGCTCATTATTCTATGTAATTTTTAAGAGAAATCATTAGCCAAAAATTTGAAGGACACTCTAATTCATGATAGGACTTCGCTTTCTTTACATTATGCTTAAGGAAAATATTTGGAACACCAAATAACATAGATAAGTCTTTATTTCCCCTTTTCTATAGTAACACTTACATAGCATTGAGATAAAAACAATGCCTCAGTTAACTGTACATAAGACTCTACTTACTTTTATTTTTTTCTTCCTAAATCAATTCCTGACAGTAATTCATTCTCTTCAGTCATTCACTCTAAATGTGCTATTTTCCTTTAAATATGCCAATTTCCTTATAAATATTAAATGTTGTTTTATGAATGTATGTGACTTAATTTACATAAATGTCACCCTGTTCTCTTCCTCTGAATACAATTCATATTGTTTTATAGAGAGAGAGTTCATTACTTTCAAAGTGCTATTATTATGTAGTATCAATAAACTTACTTTACTATTTTCCAAATTATGTACAGCTAACCTACATCCAATTTCCTATTGCCATAAACAATTTCATGATTAATATCTCTGCCTAATAGCCTATGTATATTTGTATAAGATTGTCTTTAAGATAAACACCTGGAAGAAAAAATAACTAAATAATAAGGTATTTACCCACTTAATTCCAGTAAGTATTACAAATTGCTTTCTAGACTGATTCTGTCTACTTTCAACTGCAGAGCAAGAGTAACCATCACTCATGTCCCCAGTAAAAAATTTAACATTATTAGTCTAAGTTTTTCTTCCCATATAAAATAATATCTTCTTGCTTTGATTTGTTCTTTTTCTGATTACCAGTGTTTTTGGAGACTCTCTTACTTATAAGCTATTCAATATTTAGGTTCTTTGAATTAGATTTTTAAGATTTTGGCTCACTTAAAATCAGTTTTCTGTGCTTCTTATTGATTTGCATACTGTACATTTGCACTGGTCAATATAGTGGCTATTACCACATATAGCTATTTATATGTTAATAATTTAAATGAATTAAATAAAATTGAAATTTTAGTTCCTCACATTTGCCTCACTCCAAGTGTTCAATAGCTGTATATAGATAGTGACTTTCATGTGAGACAAGATGGATATAAAATATTTTCATCATCATAGAAAGTTCTACTGGACAGTGGTTATCTAGATAATATGTCCTTCTCAAATTAATATATTACAAATGTTTCTTTTAAATATGTCATTTGTTACTTTGGTCTCTAATTCCTTTCATTAAACAAATGTTTTTTTACTATTTGTATTCTGATATTTATTAAAAGGTGGCTGTTTAGCTCATTTTTTTAAGATTTCTTTATAAGATATCCTTCCTCAACCATAAGTTGAACTTTGATAAGTTAAAGACTACCTAAGTGTGTTTTTGCTAAAAGAATATAATTTTCAAAATCAGGAAATCAATATTAGTAAAGAATGAATATTTAATCAATTGGTCTTATCTGGTTTTTGCCAATGATCTGCATAATGTCTTTTTAAAAGAAAAAAACATCTGGTCCAGAACCTATCTGGGATCATAAGTTATATTTCATTGCCATGTCTTCTTATGATAATTAATCTTCAACAATTCCTCAATCGTTCTTTAACTTTCATCCCACACCTCACTTTTAAGTAACCCATCTATTGTCTCGTGGTTTGTTTCCTGTGTTGTATTCTGCACAAATGTACAGAAATCTGCTCCCCTCCTCCCTTACGTTTCTGCAAAAGGTAGCTTACTATGGACATTTTGGATCTTTTCATTTAGCCATGCATCCTGGAAATACAAGTCATATGACCTCCACATCACATCATAAAGATCTCCATTCTTAATCACAATTGTGGTTTCAAATATTCTAGCAAATGTAATATGAAAGGAAAATAGAAAAGGATCATAATTTGAAGGCTCTCTGGTAGCCTGTCACACAACCCTGGCAAGCCATCAATTGCCTGGAACTAAAGTGTCCATGTCAGATCAGCACTACATCTGCTTCAGCAGGATATTCTCATACATTTTACTCCAGTGTCTCAGTCACTCACTTTCTTCTCATTTCTGTGTCATCTCTGGGTTGGGCCTCTATTAAAGAGTGCATATCCTCTAATAGTTTGCTGTCTACTTCCCAGGAACATAAGTCATTCTTTCCTTTTACAGATTAAGATGTAATAACATTTTTTTTTGAGAGGGCATCTCTCATATTTATTGATCAAATAGTTGTTAACAACAATAAAATTCTGTATAGGGGGGTTAATGCTCAATGCACAATCATTAATCCATCTCAAGCCATTGGGCTTGTCTCCATCTCGTCAGTCTCCAATCTTCTGAAGGATAACCAACAAGTTCTTACATGGTGAACGAATTCTTACATAGTGAATAAGTTCTTACATGGTGAACAGTACAAGGGCATTCATCACAGAAACTTTCGGTTTTGATCACGCATTATGAACTATAAACAATCAGGTCAAATATGAATATTCGTTTGAATTTTATACTTGATTTATATGTGGATCCCACATTTCTCCCTTTATTATTATTATTACTTTTAC